AAGTTAAAAAAAGCATCAAGTTGATGTGGGAAATTCCAAATATATCACAATCGGGCTTTGTTGGTAATTGGTTCCACATGTGCAGTCGGAGAGGTAGCGAGGGGGTGGGGGTGGGGGACGGGGAAGACGGGGAGCTCCGCACCGTGCCTTGCAAGCGTCGTCGACGAGGTGGTTTAGGTGTCTGTGCCTTTCCTCCTCTTTCTCCCTTCCTTCCTGCACCCCCTGGTTTCACGCTATTGGGGGTGGAAATAAATTCGGAATGATACCCAATTATTTGGCCAAATCAATAGAATCTCTTTCCTTGAGACGACCCCGCTAGACTACGTAACAGTGTCGAACAAAGGACAGGCACATCTTCCAAACCCGTTTGTCCCGAGTGCTGGGTTTCTTCCTCCAGTGCAGTTGAAGAGGGGGCAATGGATCACACGGACTGAGAAGTCACTGTCTCCTTCCTGACCCAGGCCAGGGCACAGCCCCTGGGAGCTGGCTTTATTTATATTTGACTAAATGCAACTTCCTGTTTCCCAGGGGTATTAATGAGTGTTTCACTGAAGAGCTTAAGGCCTCATGGCATAGTTCAGATCATAAGGGACACTTTGATCAACTGAGTGCAAATAAAAAAAAAAAAAAAAACCCCAAAAAACAAACATGTGCAATTGATTAAGGTTTAAATACATATAGAGGAGGATGTTAATGGAAACAAAAATAACCCTGGGCTGGACTCGCACATATTTAAGCCCCACACATCCCCCCCTCCCTGGGGGGTGGGGAGCAGGATCGTTTCTCACATCAGCGGCACCTCCTCCCAGCTAATGGAGGGGAGAAGGTGGCCCAGGGGTCCTCTCTAGTCCCCACAGAGTACGTGGCCACTTCCTCAGAAAGATTTCAAGACTCGCCAAGGTCAGCTTGTCCAATAATATCTTTCTGAGTGTGGTGCTGTGGGCGTTTGAGATTTCTACATTTAATTATTGAGTCTAAGGTATTTATTTCCAGAAGGCCATTGCTATAATACAAGTATGTTTCCTGGGAGGGGATGTGCACTCATACCTCAGCAGATATGACCACTTCAGGAGAGGCGAGAGGAGCTAACGTTTACTGAGTACCCAGCGGTCCCAGGCGATATTGCCAGAAGGTACCAAAGGCTGTCTCAACGGCGAAATTGAGTTTCATTAGCTATATTTACAGGTGATAAAACTGGAGTTCAGAGAGGTTTAGTAAGTTGACCATGGTAGCCGCCAGAAGTACCAAAGGCTGTCTCAATGGCGAAATTGAGTTTCATTAGCTATATTTACAGATGATAAAACGAGTTCAGAGAGGTTTAGTAAGTTGACCATGGTAGCATAACCAGAACTGTCAGAGCCAAGGTGAAAATCAAGTCAGTATGTTTGGTTCCAGGGCCTGACCTAGACCATTATACCCTCGCCTGTCACAGAGGACTTCCTCAGATTCCAGCAGGTTGGAAATCCAGAAAGGAGATCGATCCAGGGGGCCCGTCAGGAAAATGCAAAATTCTCTGTCTTTAGAAAAGAGAGACTTTAAATGTAGGAAATGGCGTTAGACTGAGCAATTCTGGGTTCTCTGAAACCACTGCTTCAATGTCACTTGGGGCTAAGCACAGGTGATGGCAGAGCGAAGCAGCTCACAAGAGCAGGGAATGCAGCTGGAAGCCAGCACAAGCCCTGGCCTGAGGGGCACAGGGAGGAGCTGGTTCCTGGAGCCAAGGGCCAGAGTCACCTGGCAGAGGCTGGAACACTGTGGACACATCAGGTGGGACCTGACCAATACTGGAGTCATCTGCCAAGGCCGTGAGGGGGTGGCGGGGAAGACTGCCCTGCTTCTTCCTTCTTACCTACTCCAGTTTCCCACCACTGAAGACAACAACTGACACAGAGCTGTGGAACCAGCCACACAGGCAGGGGAGGGAAAAGCTAAGGAACGGATGTAAGGGACGACAGCCCAGGACCAGGGCTATAAAGGACTGGGAGATGGTGAATTAGGAGTAACTAAAAGGGAACAGAGTATTACTTAGAGACAGCATGCTTCTGCCAAGATGGTGGATGAGGAGGTTCCCTGTGCATCTAGGGAACAGCGTAAGGGCCAGGGGACAGGTGGGGAGGATGGGACCAGGACAAGGTGTCAATGAACCCTGGGGAGATGTGGTGGAGAAGACACGCTTCCGCCCTAGAGTCCCTGAAGCTGCTGCTTCTGATGCTTCTTGGAGGCCGTCAGAGTGTTTGGTTGTTTGTTTTGAACATTTCCTTCCATCTCATTGAAAATGTTTACATTCACACTCCGGAACAAAAATGTGCAGGGATCGATTGAACCGCGTTTCAGGAAGATCAATGGCCTTGCCACACTGAAGCAAGAGGTATCAGATGAAATGGGCATTCTTAATCACAAATAGCAGGGGGCGAGTGGGGCTGAGGGGCTGGGGGTGATGGCCGGTCCAAGAGGAAGCGTTTTGCTCCTGGAAGGCTGCAGCAGGAGAGGCCTCTCTCCACTGGGGCCAGGGTGATAGCTGACTCAGGAATCAGGCCCCTAGCCATGCTGGTGCACCCCACAAGTCGTGGGAAGAGGGTAGGTCATCTCCTGAGAGAGCACTGAGCTCTGGCGCACAGATGAGGACTGGTCATTGCAACCTCGGGACGCTGCTCAGAGTGGGTCTGACATACTGGTCTCAAGGGTTTATGCCAACCATTGGTCCAGTGCCTGAAATGATCATTTGTGAGGCAATCTGAAGGGCCACGTGTCTACACATCTTACCTCGGACTGTAACTCCCTGGCAGGGAGGATGCTCATTTGCACTGCTTTATTTTGTTCTTCTGGCAGAATATGAAAAGCATGGGTCATAGGACAGAGAGGTTTGGGCTTGAGGAGAGGGGCTCGGTAGCCGGGAAGCACTGCATAGTAGGTGCCATAATGAAGTCCAGGGCCAGAGGCAGCCTGAGGCCGCTGTGGGCTGGGGGTCAGGAGCAAAGGGCAGGGAGCTGAGGAGTGCTGGGAGGGTAAGCTGAAGTGCTCTTCTGGAAAAGACGGGCAGAACCAATTCCAAAAATGTTATCTCTTATCTTTTAGTTCATTTTCTTTCTTTCTCTGGTGAAAGGTGGAATTTTGCTTACGTTAAGAAAACAAAGACAATAGGAATCTGTCAGTGTAGATGCCTGTTCTAACACCAGTCTCGAGTAAATTCAGCGGGACGTTTAAAAGGGGCTCTTTCTCCATTTTGTTGGTGGTCTCCAGAACAGTGGGTATCAACCATCCCCACCCCCTCTCGCATCTGCTCGGGGCTTGTGAAGACGAGTCTGAGACTAATTTTGAAGCCCCGAGTTGACCTCGCCCCTCCAAACCGTCAGAGGAGGAGGAGGAAGGACAGGGTGAGAACTGATGTCCCCTGGCCTCAGGCCTGGTGAGAGGGGCTTTGGCAAACCCATGGGGAGGGGAATGGGGAGCTTTTT